TTATTCCATTTTAGGGCTGGGGACATGGCTCAGTAGAATAAGTGTTTGCCTGGCAAGCGCAAGGGCCTGAGTTCAATCCCCCATTCCGCCAAAAAAAAAAAGACCAAGATAAAGCAAGACATATATAACAAGAAATATAACTTTTGTATCTGATCAAACCTACATTTTATGAACCCAAGATGCACACTGCCTTTAGATGTAAAAAGCTGCCTGTAGGTGTAGTCACCACTGAGATCATGTTTAAATGGTACAACTCCTTTAAAATAAAAAAAAAAGTAATATAAAAGGAAATGGCCCTGCTCCTAGGCCAGAGACAGACTCTACCTAGTCAAAAACCCAGAAGGCTTTATTAAAAAGTCCACATCACCATTTTTTTTTAAATTTAGAACAGGGTGTATAGGGTGTACAGGGTCTCACTATTAGATCAGACTCATAGTGATCCTCCTGTTTACAGCTTCCCAAGAGCTGGGATAACAGGTGTGTACCACCATGCCTAGTCTCAATTGCCATCTCAGGGTGCCCTGGAGGCGGGGCCGGCATGGCAGGCTTGGGGATCGAACTCCCCGCCCCTGTGTCTAAGCAGATGCGTTAATCCATTGAGCTATTTGGCCAGCCCTCACATCACTTATTATTCTACTTGACCTAGCTGAAACCCATGGTGTCATTTTCATCTGGCATTTAATCAGTTTTGATGCAACACATACATAATTTTATCTCTGTGTGCCTGATTAAAAGACATGCCCTGTGATCACTGACCGCAGCTCCACGCATGCATATTCATTAGATGGCTACTTCGCATGAAGTCATCTTGGGAAAGCTGTGTGTCTTTTCTTTGGGGATGTTTAGCCCTAGCTTCGTAGCTGAACATTTAGACATTTTCAGATGACTTGTGGCACCCTTCAGCCAGAAGCAGTCAAGTCTGGAGCTATGTGTTTCTATCTTGCAGCGGACAAGAGAAAATCTATGACATCGTGTCAGAAACAATTGCGAATGACTTCCCCGGGTGGGTCAGTTCCGTGGTCGGGCACCTCAGCAGCCCTGTGGTCATCCTGCCTGCTGTGCTACTGCTATTGTGAGTGCTGCACTGCCAGCCTTCGGGGACTGCCTCCTGCCTGGCCACTGCTCGCCAGTAATTATGGGAAATTAATTAGCTCATTCAGAAATCACTTACGGAGCCTGCTGATCTAAGCTAGGACTCTATGTAGCCACTCAGAGTCACTTGAGCCACTGCAGTACAGGGAGACAGTGTGGTATCTCAGCAGGGGAGGGCAATACCCCTGGTTATTGGACGGCTACCGATCTGTCAGCAGCAGGTGAGCAATGACTGTGGCTACTGTCATGGGGCAGAACATCGGAAATATTGGCTTCTTATTCTGCAGAACTTAAAGGATCCTAAAAAGGAATTTCCTGGCGCACACCAGTTGTGCTGGCTTCTTTGGGCTTATAGGGAAAAGTTAAAGTGAAGAAAGCGAGTACTCATGGCTCAATGCTGACGCCCTCCCTGATGCTGTCCCAGAACAGAATTCTGTGTCCCTGGGGTTGCTACAGAAAGCGGAAGAGGAATGCAGTCCCTCCCTGTGCTGTCCATGCAGGGTCAATGCGAAGTCCATATCTGGATGGGGATGCTTGCTCTAGCCAGAAGCTGAGCAGGGGTGTGGCCCGGCAGCCGTGGCCCTCACTGCTGTGTCCTTCTGCCCTAGCATGCTCATCTATTACCTGCAGAGCATCGCACGCTCCCTGAAGCTCAGCAACCAGCAGCTCAGAGTGCAGATCCAAAACGCAAGTATCCACGGCACTTACTGTGCGTGCGCACACACACACGCACACGCATACACACACACACACACACACACACACTGCCACTGGTGGTGGCCTCACCCATCTGATGAGTGCTCTACAGCATGAGTGACAGTGACATAGCTCTTGGTCACCTTAAACTTGGCCCCCTGGATTCTTCTGTAACCTAAACTTCATCCTGTCCAATTCCCATGCAAGCAGAATTGCCTCCATTTTCTAACTTTAAGATTAGGTTGCACCTGCAGTCCCAGCTCTTGGGAGGCTGTAAACAGGCAGATCACTATGAGTCCAGTACTTGAGTGAGTGAATATATATATATATATATATATATATATATATATATATATTCCCATAAGCATCAGTTCATGCACAGAAATACAGACTAGTTTGTAAAAAGTCAAGTTAGAAATTCATTGCAAAGGGCTTCACTGTTGTTGATCTGCACCTTTGGGGTTCAGGCAGACTACCCCAGCATCCCTAATCTAAAAAAGTAACACCTGAAATGCTCCAAAATCTGAAACTCTGAGTGTTAAGATGATGACCCAATTGGAAAATTCCACACTATGAAACTTTGTTTTATGCCCAAAATTGTTTTAAAATGGCCCATAAAATGTTTCAAGTCATGTGTGTAAGGTGTGTCTGAAACATAAGTGATTTCATGTGTAGACATGGGTCTCATCCCCAAAACATCCCATCACATATGTGTACCAATTCCTCATGTTGGAAAAGTCCAAATGCTGCTGGGCCCATCCATTTCAGACAAGGGACACTCCACTGTATTAGAAGAATCTCAACCTGGCCAAGGACTCAGCTGTCCCTAAGTGAAACCACGTAGGCACAAATCTTTGGCCCTTAGGTATTTGCATTCATTCACTCAAGTACCTAGGCATAGCAGGGTCAGGCCGGGGGGAGGTAGTCTCCTGTCCAAGGTGCAAACAACACAGAAGTGTTTTCCTCCCCCAAACAGAATCTTTTTTTTACTGTTTTCTTCTGAGTCCAAATCAAACATGATTGTTATTTGCATTTTAGGCAAGATCTGAAGATAAGAAAAAGGTTGCCCAGTTGGTAGAAGGTAAGTATGTTTTGAAGCACAAATGTCTAATGTCTCAACCAATAGGCATCTAAAAGAATAGAAAGGGCCGACCAAATAGCTCAGTCAACCTGGCCAAGGAATCAGCCGTCCCTAAGTAAAACCACGTAGGCACCTGCAAGCAGGCACAGGGGCCTAGGGTTCAATCCCTGGGCCTGCCATACCAGCCCCACCCCTGGGGTGTGCTGAGACTGCAATTGAGACTGGGTGTGGTGGCGCGCACCTGCAATCCCAGCTCTTGGGAGGCTGTAAACAGGCAGATCACTATGCGTCCAATCTAGAAGTGAGACCCTGAACACCCTACAGACCTTTCCTTAAAAAAAACAAAAAAAAAAAAAAAAATAGAATAAAATAAAAAGAAACAGAGCAAGAAAGTTTAAGATGCATCATACCCATAACAATTGCTCACAACCAACACTAGCATCTCACAATTAACTAGGTACAGTAAAATAAAATGTAGGCTACAAAGCCAAATTTAAGTCTTAAACCATTCCACCACGAAGGCCTGTACATAACCTTTAATCTGATCAGAAGGAAGGTTTAAAGTAGCAGAGAAAGCAGCCCAGTGCTCCTGGGATACCGAGACTCGCTCCTGTCCATGCGCTTCCCGCAGGGGCCCTGCTCTGTGTGGCAAGACACCCTCCTCTGTCTACTCTTTCCTGGTCCTGTTGATTGTTGGCAGATGGGCAGGCCTAGGCTGCACAAGCAGATTCCTGAGTGAGGATCTAACCCAAGGACTCTCCCACCCAGAACTCTTTCCTGATGAAGTTATCACGTGAGCTTCCTCATCTCCATCCTGTAGATAGCGAGCCTCGCAGAGGTGTCCAAGTGTGTGCTGTTATCTCAGGTCTCGTTCCTCCTACACCCCTGTTCTAGCCTTCTGCAGTTCAATGATTTGGCTGCTGAATGTCTGTGGTGCCTTGGTTGCTGCATCTCTAAGGAAACCTGCCTGTTGGTAGGCTCAGCTATTGGCAGTCAGGAAATTTTTGGAGCCAAACCAGTCTGGTGTCTGTCCTTCTTCTGTTACAAGATTCTAGATACAGTCCACTTAAAAGAGAGAAAGCACATCTTGGCTCATGGTCTCAGAGGTTCCAGTTTGTGGTCATATGACCCACTTCCGAGTAAGGCAGCACCTTGCAGAAGTGCGTGGCAGAGTCTGATTGCTCCTGCCTTGACCAGGAAGCAAGAGAGGAAGGCCGCAGCTCCCGCCATCCCCTTCAAGGGCACATTCTCCTGACCTCAAGACCTCTCAAAGGCTCCACCACCTCCTGATGGTGACCTGCTGGGGACCAAGTTTTGTTTTGTTTTGTTTTTAATGTCTTTGGTGTAGGGTCTCACTACACAGCTCCGATTCATAGTGATCCTTCTGTTTTCAGCCTCCCCAGCACTGGGATTACAGGTGTGCGCCACCGTGCTCTGTCTTGATGGCTGGCTCAGCATGCCTGGGGCAGGGCCTGCATGACATGTGGTGCCGGGGATTGAACCCCGGTCCCTGCACTTACCTAAGCAGGCACTTAGTCTGCTGAGTTATCTCACCAACCCAGGACCAAGATTTTAACTAACCCATAGGTCTTTGGAGGACAGTTAAAATCCAAACTGCAGCACCCCTGAATCTAGCACCTGCTAGATGTCGTCTTCTTATAAGCCCTCCCTCTCCCTACAGCTCGAATCCAGACTCATGAGGAAAGCTCCAAGAGGCTTCCAAAAGATGGAGACTTCACACACGTGGTGACATCCCTGAACAATGGCAGTGTGGCCAGCTTCGACTCCCTGAGCATCGAGAGCAGCAGAATAGAGACCACCACCGAGCCAGTGCCCCACAGCCCAGGGCTGGGCCTCAGGAATCCCTGCTCACCTCTTCCTGGCATCTCCAAGCCAAGGCCAGAGCACCATACTGGCAGGTGAGGCTCAGCCACAGCCTAGAAAGAGACTTGGCTTCCTCAAATGTGACACCAGTTATAGCCCAGGGGCCAGAAGGTGCAACTGGAGAGCTGCTAAGAATTTGACAGCCCTAACAGTTTCAGGAGGCCAGGAATATTAAGTTCCAATCCTGCCAGAAGGCTGGCCATGAGGTTAAGAGTCTGTCACCCAAAAAGTGGAGAGGTTAGGGAAAGGGAGTCAAACTGTCACATGACAAATTCTTTTTCCTACACCATCTGTCATGTAACTTATATGTAACCTTTCTGCCTGTCCAACATACACATTGCCACAGCCCAAGAAAAGAAAATGCCTTTTCATTTATCTTCCATTTTCCAGTTCTGAGCTGGCCATATTATTGGCAAGACCTGCTATATTTCAGCCTCAAGCTGACTAAGCTTTAAGCTCATGTAATGTGTATACTACATGAGTCGCTTGGTTCCATCTTTCTTAACAGAAAGCAGTGGACCCTTGGGCTGGGAAGATAGCTAGGTGGTATAAGCACGTGCCTGGCAAGCACAAGGACTTGGGTTCAATTCCTGATACTGTGTGCCATGCCAGCCCCAAAACCAGGCATGGTGGCATATCAAACAGGCACTGCTGGACCGAGCTCTTCTCGGGAAGAGCTTCCTAATAGCCGTATGGCTCCCCGGTGGGAATTCAAGGAAGTCGTGGGGCGGGGAAGATCATGGCAAGTGTTCCTTGAAAAGTGCTCCACAAACGCTGGTCTCAAGATGTGCTCCCAGACAGAACAAGGGCCCTTGGGTATGTAGGGACAAAACACACCATGCTCCATCCGTGCCATACACATCACTTCCGGTGCTGAGGCATCCAGTGGCGAGAGGCCTCTGTGGCTCATCTCCCACTGTGCCCAGCCACAGGACACCCAGGGGCACCTTGAAACTGATAAGGCCCTGGTGAGCTCCAAGACCACTGAGGCCAGGCTCCTTAACTCCCTCCTCTTACAGGTGTCCACAAGCTCCTTGGGCCAGCACAGGGGACCTTTGCCAGCACAGAGCCTGCACGTCCATGACACTGCCAGAGCACACTGAGGATGTGCGGTCAGAACCTCTTTTCCGAAAAGATTTCTGGCCCATGTACCCTCCTGTCCATGGCCCAGGGGCCTCAGCCTTGGGAGCACATCACAGACCCCACACCCCCAGGCACTATCTCATGAAGGAGCGTGAGGCCCACCAGAAACCCCATCCAACTCCTGGGTTGGAAAGACATTTCAAGATGGATGTACCCAGTGACATGATGGAGGTGTACTCCTGGTACGTTCCACAGCATGTAGCTCGGGCACCCCCACAGCCTGGCTCTCCACAGATGAGTGAAGAAGAGGAGGAGACCCCGAGGAGAGCTGGGCAGCGACAGTCACTTGCCCCTTGTTCCCTGATGGACTTCCATCAAGCCCCTCATTTTTATATTGGTGAGAGGTCCAGAAGCCAAACCCGAAATCCTGAGCCCTGGGGAAGGAGGCGCTGCAAGTCTGGAGGTGATGGTTTTGAGAGTCAAGCTGCCAGGCCCACATCTGTGCCCAAGAGACCCTGTTCCAGGAATGGGCATCACCCACAGCACCCTCTGCAGCCCTGGGCCCGGCCCAAGGTCGATCCATTCTTCACAGATTCAGATTCTGTATCAGTGGTGTCCAGCAGTGACCAGCAGAACAGCAGCACTGACCAGTACCTGCAAGTCACCCGCCGCCAGGGCAGGCTTCTGAGGGCCGCAGGGCAAGCTGGCCGGAAGAAGGCCAGGTCCAGGCGGGCACTGCCCACTGAGCTGGATGACCTTGTCTGTTCCAAGGTCTAGGCTTCCCCCCAGGACCCGTTCACCAGACCCACAAGCCATCACTCAGCCTTTCTGGAGAGAAGATGGCCCCACTAGCTGCCAGAGGTGATGCAGGGCTTTCAGCCTTACCCATGGCTGGGTCTCAAACTGCACGCTGATTCTCTGGCAGACAGGCTCAAGTGTAGTTTCTGAGCACCTCCAGCACGCATCAGCTCATCATTCCAAGACAGCACAGGCAAGCCAGACAGCTCAGCCCACTGTGGAGCCCAGATCCCCTCCTGCCTAAAATGATATGATCGTGCAGTACGTGAGGCTGTCCTTCTACGTGCAAAGACCACTGCTTCGGGCAGCACTGAAAATGCAAATGAGGTGCCTAGCGCTAAGAGCTGCACAGTGCTTAAAGAGTAAATGAAAAGTCCCTTGAGGAGAAGAATAAGGAACTGAAAAGAGCTTCTTTTACCATTTACTGGACAGTGTGTCTATATTGGTCAGAACTAGGCTTGCACAGGTATAGTGGTTGATCCATTGTGTCAACTTGAGAAGTTTGTAAAGTTTAATCAAGTGACTGAGCAGAAAGCCAGGATTCTTAGTTTGTAAACATCCTCATCCTGTGCAAGAGGAGGGCATGGACACTGTGTGAGTTCTACACCCCCACCCCAGGGTAGCTTGTGTATAATATAAGGAAGGGAGAGAGGCTGGCCAGATGCCACAGCTGTTGCCCTTCCCTTTGCTCTTCGTGGCCATGAACTGCTGCTCTCTGTCGTGTGCCCCTCTGCCTGCGAGCCTGCTGAGTATGGACTGAAACCTCCACAAACTGTGCTAAACCTTTCCTTCCTTCATTTGGAGTGTTAGGTATTTGTTCCAGCAACAAGTGAAAAGTACTGAGACACACAGAATCCAAGTTTTTATCCCTAAGTTTATGGGCTTCTTAGCTGGCAAGGGTGGTGATCAAGACTCAGGAATGGGCTCAGAGGAGGCAGGGCTCTGAAGGGTTCCAGAAGCATCTCTTTGCTCTGCTCTGCTGTCTCTGAGCTGCTCCAGCTCCTTCCTCCTAGGCCAATGGCTTCCACCAGATGGCAGGTGAGGAGCAGTTCACAGCTGCAGAAAAGAGCTGGTGTGCAGGAGGCAGCCAGGAGGCCCAGGAGACAGCTGAGCACGCCATGTGCCACTGCCTGTGCTCCTCTGACTGGCCTTACACAGGGCAGCAGGTGTCAAACCTGCCAGGGCAACCAGGATTGGGTCCTGACCCGTAACTCCCCAGAACACCTTTCATTTGAATTGTGGCTTTCCAACCGTCTGCCTCATCAACCATACTTTGGTTTGGTTTGGTTTGGTTTGGTTTTGAAGACAAGCTTTTGTCATGAATTGTAAGAGTCTTTGTTGTTGTTTTTTTTCCAACCCTACTTTGTGTTTGGAATAAAAATGGCATTTTTCCCCACTGCTGCTTCCCTTGTGACAGACATGTGATAGATTTTATTACTTGTTTTCTCTTGCTACCATGAGTCGAAATTATGATGGAGACTTGCTGAAGATTAGGCTTCTTCGACCATAGCAAGCATTGTGATGGGAACCCAAGTGACACTGTAGACTATGGGTAGCTCCAAAAGGCAAAGGGAAGCATGGAAAGGCAAAATTCCATAAGGGACCCTAATCCCCTGTCATTGGCTAAGGGGTAGGTAATGCAAGCCCAAGGTTAGATGGGCAGTGCTGGGGCCTTTACAGAAGTACTGTCAGTGCTTGGCTGTGGTTCTGATGCATTGTGTGATGAGTTCTCTACTGCTGCCTTGTATTCAAGATCCCTTCCCCTACAACCTCAGATTTATCTGTTTTCTCATTAGGGCTTGACACAAGCTGCTTGGATTCTGACAGTGACAATCTGAGTGGCTTGTACAACACACACACATACACAGACACAGACACACACACACACACACACACACACAGCGTCTCACAGTTTCCATGGTGAGGAGTCCAGCTGGGGCCCAGCAAGTCCTTTTCTCAGTATATCACCAGGCTGTAGTGAGGGCATCAGCCCGACCAGGGTTGCATCCCAGGTTTGAGAGTCTCTTCCCAACTGATGTGATTGTTGGCCAAATGCCTTGCCCAGGACAAAGGTTGTTGCCCCTTCAAGCCTGCCCACATATCCCCTGCCCACATAGCCCCTCTACATGTGGCTGGCTGTAACTTCACAGTCAGCTTTCGATTTCTTTTTCCAGAGAAGGTCTAGATTCTCTTTTGAAAAGGGCTTACCAGAGTCAGCCAGAACCACCCAGGAGAAACTCTGATGATTAACTGAAAGTTATACCTGCTTGGAGACCTCGATGCTAGCTTCAAAGTGACCTCACCTTACTAACATAACCCCATGGCCAAACCTACCAATGCCAGCACGGCAGGAAGAGAAGCAAATGGGGAGTGGGGCAGGAGGAATCCTGGAGGCCTGACAAAGATAATTAACAAATATGGAATTCAGTGTGGAGCAAATGATAAGGGAGCTATACATTCTGACTGAATCACAAATAGTATGCTCACTGGATTTAGAGGTCAAGACACATGACCACTTCTAAACAGTAAGAAAAATTTAGTTTAGTTATTGCTATTGCAAAAATGCACACTGCTTTCATGGATTCATGAAAAAGAATACCCCTATTTTCAAAGTCTGGCCATGAAAGAGGTGAGGCCATGATTGTCACCAGTGGTGACCAAGGCACTGATCTTTGGTGTGGGCTGGAGCTCACAGGGATTCTGGGCAACGCTGGCCCCACGGCCCGCTGCTTTCTCTCCTAGAGACTAGATGATAAACCAGCCTTGGGAAATTCCTAAAAAAAAAACCCCTAGTGACCAGAACAAACCCAGGACTGTAGGCATGATGTTGCCATTTGTACCAGGTACCCTGGCACTTGACATTGAGCTGTATGTCTTCTATTTAGAAAAATTTCAAACACAGCGATCAGTATAAAAAATTAGTGTGCCAAGCACCTGTGCTCTTACTGAGAGGGTCAGCAGTTGTTCAAGTTTTATTTTATTCTCATCTAGACATTTTGTTATAAAAAAGAAACCCTTACAGACACAGTCAAAGTCCACATTTATCCCCACATTAAATCTCACTGCGCTCACACTGTCAAGAAGTGTATGGATCCATCTAGTAGATTGCTTGTAGTTCCAGATGTATTTGTATATGTACATGCAGAAGCACCTGTAAGCAATATCTAAATACATTTTGCTTAAGTAAATTCTGTTGTTCTGCATGCATCCTGTATGTATTCGTTTTGGATGTTTATAGATCAAACTCACTTATGATTGCTGCATAAATAAGGAATCATGTGAATAAACTATCTGGTATTTATCCATTTTCTTCATGATGGACATTGACATCTTTTCTACCTCTTTGCTACTAGAAGTAGTCATGCACTGGATATCTTTTATATGTTTATTTAGAAGTGGATGTTAGTCCTCCCGAAGGAGAAATCTATACTCTAGGAGACAAGTATGAACAGGTTCCAGGGCTACTCTTCTATTTGTCTCCCTGATCCAAACCCCTAGACCTTTTCTGACAACCTCACCCAAATTCAATCTTCTCATCCTGTTTCACTTTTGCCTATTTGATGAAAAAATAACTAAGGTATTTTAAATAGTTCGCCTTTTTGCATTGTTCCCACCTCGCGTTCAGTTGCATTTTCTCTCTGTGGAATGCTGTCTGCTCTGCACTGTGCATGGGCCACTGCCACTGCCATCCATCTGAAGCGCATTTCCCACAATGCTCCTTGACAGAACCACTGGCTGAGCAGTTGTCTCCCTCCTTCCCCTAAATTCTATCCACATCTAAGTCACAACAGAAGGCACACACTTACATTATGGATGAAAGCCAGCACAAGTATGCTTTCACGGTGTTCCTTTGCATTTAGTGATGATCCCTGGGAGGGTGGCTGTACGTCTTTCTGTCCTTTAATTAAATCAAGGACAATTTAGCTGTTGAGGACATGATTCACAGAGTCATTAAAAATCTCTCCTAAAAACACCCAAATAACAAACTGCTCTCAAGTCTCAGAGATCAGAACAACTGTAAGCATCAAAAATAGAGAGAATGCGTCTTAAGGAGAATAGTCTGATAAATATCTTAGACATGGGGACGATCCTTGGGCAACTTCTGCTGTTTCAGATTTCCTGAAAGCCGGGGAATTCAGAGGAGAACTTTCTGCATATCTCTGTGAAAAGCACCTTCCTAGCCTGAGGCAGTGTTTCCCACACACTCTGAGAGTATGTGTTTGCATGCCAGTGTGTTCTTGGTTTTGTTTTTCTTTCAAGTTTGCAAGTAGCTTTGTTTTTGGCACATTTCACAGTAAATACTGTACATGCTTACAGGAAGTGAGAGATAATAAAACATAGGTAGCCTTTGGAAATAGGAACTGAGTATTTGTCCACAAACTGCCATTTACTAGCTGTGCGGCCTCGGATGTGCCCTGCAAAAATGAAGTAGTAGCTTCTACTTCTGGGTGCTGCCTGGATTGAACGGCCTGTGCATAGGCTGGTGGCTGCCAGGTGGTGGGCACTGAGAAGCAATCACTTGTGCTAAGTGAACAGCAAACACATGTTTACAGACCTACTTAATAGCTTCAGACCACCTAGTCAACACTCTGTGGGAAGTCCCTGTCTACCTACTTATTTGAAATTCAACCAGGACTTCAGTGAAGTCGGACTGAGAGGCCTGAGGATTGGCGGGAGGTGCTCTGAGGAGTGAAATCTGCGGACCTCATATTCCTCCTGCTGCTTAGCTCCTAGCACTGCTTGCCCCAGACCAAACCAGAACCCAAGAGGGCTGTGCCAACAGCACCAACTCCCTTCTGCACCTGCCCCTGCTCCCCCTGCCCTGTGCCACCCTCCAGCGGCAAAGCAGAGCTGCAGGGCTGCCTGACCCCACCAGTCTCCTGCTGCCAGGTT